TTCCCTAACCATAAACTCTTTCACCTAACCACTTTAAGAGACACTGTTAGGCCCCAAATCATCATCAAACCCAGTCCACATGAGTGGACTTAGATAAAGACCTCAAAGGCCATAACCACTGCAAATTATTAGGTTGTTGAGAAAGTCATGACAGTTTTTCTATGCAAAAATGTGTCACGACTTTCCCAACGACCCAACAGTGGTATGTGTAAATACAAGTTCTGAACAAGGGTAAGCAGGCTTCTGTGAAAGGACCATAAAGATTTTTGTTTCTGTGGGTGTTACAGCTTGGATAGTGATATGTCCTACAAAAGTTCATGTTTTTTAATTTGGTCCCCAGTGTGATAGTTTGAGAAGTGAGGCCTATGGGTGGTGATAGGATCATGGAGGTGACCGTCCATGAGTAGATGAATGATGTTTTGTGAGACCCAGTAAGTTCTAGCTCTCATGCGAAGGGGTAAGTTCTTGTGAAAGCAGGTTGTTAAGAGCTGCCTGTGGCACAATCTCTCTCTGCATGCACCCGCAATCCTATCTGCTTCTGTTGGTTATGTTCCAGTATCAGAGTCAATACACTTCTCTTAATTTCAGCCAGTCTCAGGCATTTCTGTCAGGAATGTAGTCACAGACCAAGACAGTGAGCCATGATGCCTCCTCTGTCACAACTACTCAACTCTGCCACTGTAGACTGATGCTTGCTCGAATGGCCATGACCCTGCTTCAGCATAGCTATCTATGGTCCGATGTGGATGTGCGTCATATGCCTAGGGATGGTGTGAGAAGCACACCAGGGTCTGATCCTCACATATCTGGCTGCAGAGATTCAAGGAGAAAGGCTTCATTAAAAGCTAAGTGAGCCAAGTGAATGCTGGGCTTTCTTTTTTGCTCAGGACCTGGATGGGCCACAAGCTGATGAAGACCACGCTGAGACAGACCAGCACCTGCAGGAATCATCTGCCTGCTCAAACTGTGGCACAGTGCCTGGTCCTGGGAATAATCCTCCTTTCCCTAATATCTGAGCATGTGGCCTGGGCACTGAGGGCGGTAGAAGAGGGGATACTTAACTCGGCCACCAAGTGGGTGTGGGGTCCACTATTTACTTGTTACCAGGCATGAGCTATCGTAACTGCTGCTTCTTCCAGAGGTCTGGTCACTTTTTTCTGCTCCCACAGGAGCAGTGAGCACTTGCCCCTGAGCACTTGCCTGAGGACCTCAGCACACCTGCTTTGGGCCCTTCCCGCCTTACCAGAGCTTGGATCTGCCTGACTTCAGACTCCAACACTCCATTATGTTCTACCAAGTTCGACATCTCTCTCATTTTCTTCCTTTTTTTCAAGATTGCCGTTTTCTGGCTGGGCACATCGCAGAAGTCCAGGCTGCTGGGCTCTGCCTTTTTCTTCTGTAGTCTTGCACAGGGAGGCACAGGGGCAAGGCTGCCCCCACTCTCCACAGGGCTTGCCGAAGGCCAGGTCAGTATAGCCGGGCCACTGCCATTGAGTGGGAGTGCTCCAAGCTTCCGTTTTCTCCTTGGGGCCTGGGATCCTCCTGTTGGGGAGCCCCTGGAAGCAAAGCCCTGTGGATGACCTCTGCTTGGCTCATTTTGAGGTGCACCCTCTGGGGGTGACATTGTTGACTCCCAGAGCTCTCCATGGGTCCTCAGGTTCTTCTTCTTTGGCCGTTTCCTTTTACTGTGGTTGGGGATGATAGGGGGGTGCTCTAAGCCACTGTCCTCACAGGTGCTAGATGTGGCCTCCCCTCCCAGCTTGGCCACGCTCACTGTGTTGGCCTTTCTCTGGCTGGCCTCTGGCTCCCTGTTCCCGTTCTGTTCCAGAGATGGGGCCTCGTCCCCTAGGGCAGAATTTTCAGGCTGGAGATGGTTCTTCTTCTTCTTCTTCCTTTTTCTCTTCTGAATCCTGCCTTCACTGTCCTCTTCCTTAGCAAGAAAGACTCTGTTTGCTATAAATAAACATGAAACAGTAAATAAGCACCCTGACGCCATGGTGAGACCAGGTTTGTTGCTGGTTCCGAGACAGTATGAGGGCAGGCAGGCTTTCCCAACACCCTACGCCCAGTTCTGTCACTGGGACTGTTCCCTCCCCACTACGGCCTACCAGATCCTGGAGAACCTCTTGGGTCTGTTTCAATATAATGGAATGGAAGCAGTCAGATTTCTCTTTTTCTTTCAAAAATACTATCTCTATTTTCATATGATTATGTATTTGTGAGGGTACAATGTGATTTTTTTTTTCTTTTTTCTTTTTTTGGGGGGGGAGAGATTTTCACTGTAGGGCACGTGCGCTCGCCAGACAGACAAAGACATAGAGACAGAAAGCGAGAAATCACCCCCCAGGGGGGATGGTCACGCCGCAATCCCTTCTCCTCCATTCTCCTCTCGGGATCCTGGGCACGCACGCACACGCGCCCGGCGTGAGTTTTAAGCCACCGGGTCCGGGACACGAACCGCGGTCGACTACGTGGGAGTCCAGCGACATAGCCATTACGCTAACTGCTGGTTCCCACAATGTGATTTTTTTTAATATGAGAGCATAACGTGAAATGATTAAGTCAGGCCAGTCAGCATACCTGCCAACTCAACTATTTGTGATTCCTAGTGTTGCATCTCCCAGCAGTACCCTATCTGCCTGTGCCACCATGGGGGGGGCAGTTTTTCAATTTTTTAAAGTCCAGGTAAAAACATGGTGTAGAGCAGTAATCAAATAGTTGTTCCAGAAGGCAGCGTGCCAGCATTCTCTGCACCCTCATTTTGAGATCACCACTGGGAACAAGCAGATACTTTCAGAAGAGTAAGGCTAGGGAGCCAGCAGTTAGTATAATGGCTTTGTCGCTGCACTCCCATGTAGTCGACCGCGGTTCGAGTTCCGGACCTGGTGGCTTAAAACTCACGCTGGGCACTGTGTGGATGAGTGCTCAAAATCCCAAGAGGAGAGTGGAGAAGGGACTGTGGCGTGGCCATCCCCCTGGGGGGTGATTTCTCACTTTCTGTCTGTCTGTCTCTCTGCCTGGCGAGCGCACGTGCCCTATAGCAAAAACTTCTCAAAAAAAGAAGAGTAAGGCCAGGACAGCAGGTCCACAGAGAACAAAACACTTCAAAGAAAATCTTTACTTTCTAGTCACCAAAAGCTACAGTTTCAGCTCAGTTAATGACGCATGACGACAGGGGCTCAGGTATGCTAACTTCCAGGGACCCACGCAGTATCCGGCTGGCTGGGCCCTTCTTGGCAGCCCTGTGACCCACGCTCCACAGCTTACCTTTCTTTCCCAAATCAGTTTGCTCTGCAAGTTTATTTCTTTTCTTCTTATGTCTTCCTTGACTGAGGGTTTGGTCATCTTCATCAGCAGAAATGTCCTCAGCAAAACTGAGCTGTGATATGCCACCTGCCAGACGCCAAAGTGACAACTGGTCAGCTTCGCGAGACCACATGATTTGGCCCCAGCAGCCCAAAGGCTGTGCCCCTCCCCTGGTCATCCAGGTGAGATTTTGAACCCTGATTTCTGCCTCACCCGTTCCATTGCTCACTCTTTCTCCAACCTGAACCTGAAAGCTGCTGACATAGGAATTAGAGACTTAAAAAAGCTTTGTGGATTTCTCACCCAAGGAAAGGCAAGGGATTACAAACCTCAGGTGACACCTCTACAGCTCAACCCTGGGGGCTCAGCTAAGGCGCCCACAATCTGAGGGGCTCTGCAGTACTTGCCCCACTTAAAGTGCCCCTGGAGCACAAGACCCACAGGGGCACGGGGTGGACTCCCAGGCTTACAGCAGCTTTTCTTGAGGGACAACTGATCATTAACAGTAAGTGAAAGGGGTCTAGATATCAACTTCTTCTTCATAAAAGAAAAAAACTGGAGTCTTCTTAGATAATAAAAATTCACCCTGTTATTGGATCATTGGAAAAGCCACGATGCATTTTTACATAGAAATAACAGAAAAATGTATGTCATGACTTTTCAGATGACCCAATAAAATAACAACAACAACAAACAAACCTCCCATCACTCACATACCAGACGGCTGTCTTTCCCTTTGCCCTGGCCATTTATAGAAATCCCAGGTTGAGAAAGTAGAAAGGCTGCAGAAGCTTTTACACCCATGGCACTTCCCAGAGCCTCTGCCTCAGGCCACTGCCATGGCACCACAGCGCAAATGGGCAAGAGCTATTACTTCTTATGGGATGTTTTCAATAAATATCCTTCAATCTCATTTTCTCATAAGTGCAGTCCATATTCACGTAAAAATATCACGAATCATAATCTAACTTTCCTCACCTTCAGAAAGTTCTTGGAATCTGAAAAAGAAAGCAAAAACCAAAGTTTATATAAAAAAAAAATCCCCTCTTTCTGTGTTATATGGACATACTGAATGTTTAAAATACAAGTAGTAATTGGTACTTGTTAATTCACTTTCTTTATACTCCTGGAGGGGAGATAGAAGAAATTCCATTAAGGAAAGGGTGTGATGCAGAAACAAAAAAACAAAAAAACAAAACAAAAAAACAACCAGGAAAAAATTCCCTTAATCACCATCAATATCACCAAGAACTCAGTAGTTTAAGAGTCTGTCTTGGGACACCCAAATAAAATAAAGAAATTTCTTTCTTCTTACTTGTTTCCCAAGGTAGAAACAGCTTAGATCTCTGCTTATATTCAACTCTCTAGTAGAAAAATGCCAAGTGCTATTTTGCTTTCCATAGTTTGGTGCTCTGGAACAGACAGGAGGCATCAAGGCGCTGGGTGGTGTGTAGGGACGTGCCCGGGTGCTGGAGGTGGAGCACCGGCCACAGGGAATCCGGCTCCAACACCGACGGTGGTGGCCATGGTCAAGCTGGGCACCCGCCCTAGGCCCTCGCTGCCCTAGCTGTAAAATGGGGAAAATTACAGAAACTGCCTTCTAGGGATTTTCTTAACACAAATTAAAAGAGTATGAGCACACCCAGACGCCCAAGATCCTGGTGAACTGAAGGGAGAGGGAAGGGGATCATGACCATACCCCATTGAGGGCGCTTCTCTCTTATGCATGCACTCTTTATTGTAAGATAAACCTAAAAAAAAAAAGTGTGTTGGGGCCAGCCAGTGCCATAATGGTTAAGGTGGTTGGATCCCGTATGGCTGACTGCATGGTTCAAGTCCTGGACCTGGTGGGTTGAGAAAAATATGGGGTGCATGTCCAAAATCATAAAAGGAGAATGGAGAAGGGACTACAACATGGACATACCCCCCCGGGGGGTGATTTCTCACTTTTCCTCACTTTCTCTCTTTCTCTTTCCAGTGAGCACATGTACCCTATAGCAAAAACAAAGTGTGCTCAGATAAGTTACTGTCATCCATTATAACAAGTCACAAGGTTCTATGAATTAAGTGTCATTATGGTTATAATGACACCAACAACGACCACTAAATTTACTAAATCTTTTAGTGTTACCATGATGGAAGGTGTAGGGGTGGGTACATAATTAAACCCCTATCTACCATAACAGCATGCCAAGAGATGACATCCAAAGAGTACATTTACATCACAATTTCTTTTTTAAATTTTGCCACAGGATGTGTGAGCTCATGAGGGTGGGAGTGGGAGGGACCGAGAGACAGAAAGAGAGAAGCAAAGTGTAAAAAGCACATTACCCCCTGCCATCGCATAACCACGCTGCAATACTTTCTTCTCCATTCTCCTCTTAGGATTTTGGGCATGCATGCACATGTGCCTGGTGTGTTTCTCATGTCGCAGGGTCTGGGACTTGAATCACATGGTCAGCTATGTGGGATTTATTGGGTCATTGGAAAGTCATGACTTTCTGTTTTTCTATGCAAAAATGCATTATGACTTTTCCAATGACCCAATAGCTGCCTTAACTACTAAGTCACTGGCTGGCTCTATTTCTTATGATAAAGTATTTATTTTATTCATGACACATAGCACATGGAGGATGGGGTGGGGGGGTTGTCACTGGGTCAAGGAGACAGAAAAGTATCCTCAACAGGGTCTGGTCACTCTGTGATCCCCTGTCTCCAGCCTTCTAGCTCATCAGGGTCTTGGGCATTTCAGGTTGACTGGAACAGGAAGCCGAACCCACAGTTGGCCATGTGGCTTCCAACACTGCAGTCTGATACACCATAGATTGCACCACCCAGGATGGATCTCTGTTGTGATTTTTTATCTGTTAGCTTTAAATATTAGCAGACTTCCTTCACATTCTTATAAAATAGCTAACAGGCTACTGTATGGCCACATTTGCAGTATGGTACTTGTGGGGTCGGGGCCAGGTGCTCCTATTAAACCCTCAATCCACATGTGTGTAATACATGGTTGTGCACAAAAGAGTCAAGGATAAAGGAAAAGGAAAGGAGGTCAGCACACAGAAGCTAGTTCTACACTGTACAGGATAATCAGAAGAACTTTCCCACCTAATCACTTACTTTTTTATTAGTTTGGTGAGACGCTTCCTGTTGAAGGGAGGGATGTTTTTCCTATTGGTGATTTCCAGGAGTCTATCAGCAATGGCCTTATAGTCGAACTATGCAAAAAAGGAAAACAAACATGAGCTTCAGCAAAGCAAGACTGATTGATCTGGCATTGGGAAGCATTTGGCAGCAGAATGGTAAAACAAGTGCCACAGGTATAAGCACTATCTTTGAAAAACTCATGTTCTGTTTATTCTTGGGAGAAGTATATATAAATGCATATACATGGAAATAAATATCTTATATATATTTATACACATATATACTTTTTTGGGGGGAAGAGAGGTTTTTGCTATAGGGCACGTGCGCTCGCCAAAAAGACAGATAGAGACAGAGAGAAAGCGAGAAATCACCCCCCAGGGGGGATGGCCATGCCGCAATCCCTTCTCCTCCATTCTCTTCTAGGGATCTCGGGCACGCACACACACGCACCTGGCGTGAGTTTAAGCCACCGGGTCTGGGACTCGAACCGTGGTCAGCTACATGGGAGTTCAGCGAC